AGAATAAAAAATGAATCAGTAAAATGTAAGAAAATAACATAATTCTTATTCCTGACTAATAGTTTCTTATTGCTGATAATAGTAATCTAATTTCTGAGGGTGTTTATGTTATTCCTGACTAATAGTTTCTTATTGCTGACAAGTACAACTTAATTTCTGATGAAAAGAATTTAAATCCTGACAAACAGATACTATAATCAAAATAAAATAATAGAATTAAGGATAATATTAGATAATGCTAATTTCTGATAGAAAGCATATAATTCCTGATAATATGATAGTAAATCCTGACAATAATAATGTTTTATCAAATTACAGCAATGTAAATAAATCAACAATAACCTTAATATATTAATTTCATTTCCTGACCAAATTTACCATATTCCTGACTAATAGTTTCTTATTGCTGATGATAGTTATCTAATTTCTGAGGGTGTTTATCTAATTCCTGACTAATAGTTTCTTATTGCTGACAAGTACAACTTAATTTCTGATGAAAGAATTTAAATCCTGACAAACATATACTATAATCAAAATAAAATAATAGAATTAAGGATAATATTAGTTAATGCTAATTTCTGATAGAAAGTATATAATTCCTGATAATATGATAGTAAATCCTGACAATAATAATGTATTATCAAATTACAGCAATGTAAATAAATCAACAATAACCTTAATATATTAATTTCATTTCCTGACCAAATTTACCATATTCCTGACTAACAGTTTATTATTGTTGATAATAGTAATCTAATTTCTAACTGACAATATTAATGTTGATTCTGATAAAAGCAAATTATACAAAATCTAAAAATATAATAAAAATATGGAAGTTTAAACTTACATCGATATCCATATTATCAATCTCAGCATCAGTAGGAAACTCTTTAGGAATCTTGTACATTACATATCTAGCTTTGTCATCTATATCCTTCAATTCAAAGCTAGTAGATTGTACAACCTGATCTTCCTTCTTTCTTTCCTTTTTTTCAACTTGCCTTTCATCCAAATATTCATCTTCATCACTGTCTTCAATCTTAAATTCAATACTGTCCAGCCTTAAAGTTTTAAGAAGAGCCTGTTCAGATTTGCCAGCATATTGTTTTGGTATGGCAGCAGGGTACAGTTTCACAGTACCATAATCCATATTTTCTGCAACAGACTTAATCCTCTCATTCAAACTCTCACAACTCCAGTTCAAAATAAACGGCTTGCGATGTAAAGTTGTCCCAAACTCAAACTTTTGTAAAAATGCAATTGCAAAAGCAACTAGATATCCATTTACTTGTTTAAATTTTGTTTTCAACTCCTTTCCTTCCTTTTTTTTCAAAACAAAGGCTTGAATATCTGCTATTGACCCACATAAGAAGTCCATAACATAACCAGCCCAATTGAAGGACTTAATGAAACACACATCTTCTAAAGACTTGATGATATTAAAATTAGGAGACTTATCACCAATTGGAGCCAGGATTGTAGACACAGCAAACATAACAAACATCTTTTTAAATTCAGCACCACTATGTCTATATTTCTCAAACAACATCTTATAAGTAAGAATGTCGACATATGTCTTCTTCTTCTTCCTACCCAGAACAGCTTTTTCTTCTGTTTTCCTCTTCTTTTGCTTCTGTGCTTCAGCTTCATTTCCCTGTTGAGAGTCATCCTCTATATCTAAACCCAAGAACCTCCTCCACTCTATCTTCAAATATTCATCAGGATTGATTGATTTCTTGTTTTTAGAAATCTCTTTCGCAGGTATATCAGTAAAAGGAATACCTAACACATCAGCAATATCAGAACTATCAATATGAATTGCATGTTCCTTTTTACCAACAATAAGATTTCTAGCATGAGGATTATAATGAGTTACTATATAGTTGTACAACTGATGACTGATATTTTCCTGCAAATTCATATGAAGCAATCCACCAAAACCAATCTCTATAACATCCTTCTTTTGCTCATCACTAAAATCTTCCATAATTCTACAAAGATAACTAGGACCAGATTTAGTACCAATTTCAAGGTCTGAAATATCATCTTCAGTAAGAGCACTGAAAAAATAAAAAAGATGAATAAGACAAACTTATTCCTGGTAAAAATTATGTTATCCCTGATGACAGTAAACTTATTTTTTAGCATAATTATCTTTTTCCTGACAGACATAATGTTAAACCTGATGAAAGCAATATGAAATGTAATGACACATATCTTAGACCTAATTTAAATAATCTTATTTCTGAGCATAATTATATTTTTTCTGACAATAATATCTTCATTTATGAAAGAAATAATATTAATCCTGATAAAAAATAGAACTTAATTATTGTTGACAATAATATGTTATCCCTGATAAAAGCAATCTTATTTATGAGACTACTTATCTTTTTCCTGACAAAATTAACTTAAATTCTGACCAAAATAAGCTTAATACTGATTGAAGATACATTATTCATGAATAAAGTAATAAAATACTGACAACAAGAAGTTAATGTCTGATGGAAATCATCTAAATCCTAACTAACATAAACTATTATCAAAAATAACATAAATTATTCATTAATGAAGTAATTTGAATACAAACAACAAGAACTTAATTTCTGATGAAAATCATCTAAATCCTGAAAAACATATACTATTATCAAAATAAAATAATACAATTAAAGATAATATAATAAAATGCTTATTTCTGATATAAAAAATATAATTCCTGACTATACAATAGTCAATCCTCAATATAATCAAAATTACAACAAATGTAATTCCATCAAAAATAACATAATCCTACACACGAATATTCAAAGTAAAAACAACAATTTACATTTCATCGAACACCTGGTGTGCATCTGAATATACAAACAATATTTTTCCGAATTTAAAAGAATTTATTTCGAATATCACACCTCACAGATCGACTTCGTTTAGAACCTTGTTTAGGACCACGCTTCTTCGGATGCTGTGAATCATCCCTGCAAAACAATAACAAGAATAAAAAAAAAATTACTGACAATTTTTTTTTAAAAAAGAATAACCTAAAAATAACTACGAAATTTATTAACCTTTCTGCCATTTCAACTATCTTCGGAGGCTGTTTTGATGATCATTTAGTTCGTTTCATATAAACTTTTAAAGGAGAAGAATCATCAACAGGGGGAAGGTCAGCCATTAATGTAGTTGAGGAAGACGAAAATTAGGGTTAATGTAAAAAAAATAAAAATTAAGTACATGTAAGTAAAATATAAGCTAGAAAATGAAGGAGTGATGCGAAATTTTAGGGAAAATGTAGTTAAGTTGATAGTAATGGAGAAAACGTGGGGAAGAAGAAGAAGGAGAAAGGCGGAACGTTGGAAGAATTTTGTTTTTTTTTTAAATAAAAAAATCATTGATATTTATTAGTCGGGCCGCGCGCGGGCCGAATTATTATAAAACGGGCCGCACGCGGGCCTGTTAGTAGAATGGACTCACATGAGTCCGTTCTACACAATATTTTTCGAAACTATATTAATCATGAATAATTAAAGATTCTTTATCATCAAAAATTCATGTGAAATTTCATTTCTTGTCTTTCCTATTTCATACCCTACTCCCTTTCACTTCGAGGTGACTGAGAAAATACGACTTATTAGAGAAAGAAAACAATTCAGAACTAAAATTATTGGTTGTATTATTGAATGTATTATTATTTAGCTTGTAGACTATATTATCAAGTCTTTTTCTTCACGATGTCCTTTTGTTCAATATATATACCATAGAATTATTGCTTGTACAGTAGATTATCATGTATGGAGCGTTTTAGTCGGATTTAATTTTCAAGGTTTGTCATTTATACATGTAATTAGTTTCCCAAATGAATACGTAATTCTAATTAGACTAAGGGTCTATCCTAGTATGTTAAGTAAAGGTCTAGCCGTCTAGGCTTTCTCGGGAATGACATTCAATAATTTATTAAATAAGTATAGTTATGTGAGATATCTTATATAATCCATCCTACTCAGTACATTAAATAAGTCAAAAAGTTAATTTAATAATGAGAGACGGCGTAAGATGAGAGTGGGCTGGTGCATTAATTAACTACAAATGAGCTAACTTTCCACACTCGCCCACTTTCCATAAATAAAACCCTTAGGATTCCTTCACGAAAATGACTTGTATGTTATTATTGTACGTTGCCAAGAAAAATATGACTTCTCTGAATTTAATGCTCCCTTGTTTAATAATTGCTACCAAAATAAGAGGATATATCTATATTTCCACAGTTAGATGAGAATAAAGCTGGCCCATACTAACAAAACAAAAAATAAACCCAAAAAAGTTTGAGACATGAAAGAAAATAGACAGAGTTTCTAACACAGCTTTATATACTGTAATTGTGGACTACTGTCAAATGTATCACCAATTACATTGATATAAAACCTACTTATTTTGTTTTCTTTCACTTACAACATGGTATTGTGACATGCATTTTGAATGATATTTGATACCCTCTTTGTTTCAAATAATTATCGGATTTTAATTAGGCATGTATGTCAATATAAACTTTGACAAATAATATCTTTAATTAAAATGTCTACAAGTACTACAAACCAAATGTAAAAGTATCCCAAAATGATCATATACCACCTTGATACAAATTTTTTTAGTCTGACGAAGTCTCTCTTTATAATGTAACCCTTTCGAAGTATTTTAGTAATTGGTGACCATAATACCATTGAAAGAACTTGCCCTAAAAAATCAATGCACAATGATAATCAATAAAAGTTAAGTCGCCCCAAAAGTAGTAAATTAACCCATAATATAAAGAAATTGCACAAAAATTTATTGTACATTCAGAGCAGAAAAGAGTTTGCTCTAAACATAAATGTGCAATTACTTGAAAATACAGGCTATACAGCTACATGGAAAAAGCATCTTCCTAGGCTGTATTCCAAAATTCAACCACAAACAAGCACTTAAGTAGCTAGACTAGCTACAAACATTTTTGAAACAGATTAGAATGACGATTAATAATGTAAGTTCAACTGGAGATATTACGGTGTTACCTGATTCAAATTTCTGCAACTATTCAATCCAATATCAAAATTGATAAATTGAAATCTGACAAACACAACTCCACAAATTCTATAACCAAAAAATTTCATAATTTACCACCTGAGTGCCAACAAATTTTGAAACTACTACCCAAATACCTGCTTCTATCTGAAAATAATTACCATTCAGAACTATCGTTGCCTCATTTGAAACGATATAAGGTTAGGTATATAAGCATCATTGTACAGCTACATCAAATCGAATTCCAAACAGCAATTACTTATCCATGTCAACAGACATTCTCACCAACTTCTCGTACAGTATACGGTCATCCCGTCCTGTATTGCTTTCCAATAAAGCACTTTGCACAAGTTCCTACAAAATAAGACAAACAGCAGACATGATCCTCAATTACAAATTACAGAGAAACATCGGGAGAGAAGACAAAATAATGTCTGCATATTCTCCTTTTTTTTTTTTTTTTTTTTTGGCAGAATGTCTGCATATTCTAACCTTCACATCCCGGTGAGAGAAAAATTTTCCAAGATTATGGATTAGCACCCTCAGATCTTCCACCTGAACAAAGGTTCACATTTCCAAGTCAATGGTTAAGTTAACCTTACACTTCTATGATAGACAGACAATAAGTTTGCATGCTTACCCTGAGGTAGCCAACTCTATTTCGATCAAAGAACCTAAATGCCTGATAATATGAGCCACCATTATCAGCAAAAATGATGTGAACAAAACAGAACTCAAATCTAAGTTGTTGTAAAGTTACCTGTAATAGTTCTTTGTCCACTGGTGCTTTATCAGCTGAAGCTTTCTTTGAAATCTCAGCTCTGGCTTCCTTTTGTTTACTGGCCTCTGCATCACTGCCAGCTTTTTTCTCACTGGATGAGGCATTATCTTCTGCAACTTGCTTTTTTGCATCTTGTCCATCATCCTGTTTCTGATCCTGCTCAGCATCAATATTTCCCAACTCAATATTCTACGTCAGAAAACACGACAAGTCAATGGCGAAAGCAAGTGAGCAAATAGTTGTACAAAGCTCCTAAATTAAACATCAGATTTAATTCTAAAACATTATATGTAAAAGCATTATAAACATTTACCTCCTTGGAGGAGTCTTTCTGAAGGCTTGCATCATGCATATCTTCATCATCTTCATCATCTTCACCATCTTCATCATCTTCCTCTGGATCTTCCTCTGGATCCTCCTCTTCAATCATTTCTTCATCATCTTCTACTATATCCTTTTCAGCATCATCAGTTTTTTCTAATTCATCACCCTTTACAACCTTGTCATCCTCCTCAGGCATCAGCTTCTCATCACTAGAAATAGTTTCATCTTTCTGCTTGGGTTTACTAGACTTCTCTTCAGTAGGAATATCTTCAGTTTTCAAACGCTTTGTTGATGCCTTCTCCTTTCCCTTTCTCTCATCATTTTGCTCCCTCTCTCTTTTCCGTCTATTTCTTTTGGTGACAAATTTAACGCGCAATTTCTGTAAAAGTAGCCATGTAAGCATAATGTACAAACTAGAAAGACAAATTCCAGTAGAAACTACACATCCATACCTGTAGAAATGTTAATACACGACAACTCATCTGATATTGAAGCATTTCATAGAAAGACTCCGCGAATACTGAGAGCTGTGAGCATGAAAAAACCATCATAAAAAAACAGTAGATTAGGCTGATACAACATACACAGGTTAAAGACAGCACGGCAAGGATTGTTTGAAGGAGAGGGGCAGGGTCAGGAGAATTAAACAGACCTCAAATGTCTCTTCTTCAACATCATTGTCAGAATAATCCAGCAATGAGTCCAGAGAAAGTGACAATGATCGCAGCTGCAGTAATTTTCCATAATCAGGCAATGGCATATTAGGTACCCAATATTAATATAATACAGAAATGAAAAAACAAACACGAACTTTGGTCTCCTTGCCACTTTTTGTTTGCAAAATGAACCCAGGATGCCGAGGAGGTTCATCTGATTTTTTTCGATCCGAATCTTTGTTTGATTTGCTTCGTAATTCATCTTTTTTATCCTTCTCCTTCCTCTCCTTCTCATCTGCTACCTTTGCCTTAACCTTTGATGTTCCCTTGCAGTCAATTTGGATGTCTTTCACAGGATCATTTTTAGTCTCAGAAACTTTCTTCTCATCAGGAATATCTTCTTCCTTTACTTTGACCTGGTCAGCACTCTTCCCAACTTTACTAGATGACACCCCATCATCATGCTTTTGAGAGCTCTCTACTCCAGGTTGTGTTGTAGAAGCACATTTTACCAAGTTTCCACCCTCACTTATCTTGTCTCCATCTACCTTAGCATCACCTACATTACCACCTAACTTTCCAGCATCCTGGCTAGTCACAGTCTTGGCTACTACACCAGTGGCCTTCTTTTTTGGCACCCTCTTGATGATTTTCCTTTTCACTACTCTTTTTACAGGACCATCCCGCACCACAGTGATACCAGTAGCATCTATCTTCTCCTCTGATTTATTTAAAGAAGAATCTGGTGATATTTCACTTTTTAAACCAGATTCTTTGTCCACTTCTTTCACGGCAGCATCAGCTTCTGATAGCTTCTTTGCTACTTTCTTTCTTGTAAAAGTTTTAACACCAGTGGCATTTGCAGGTGATGAGTCCTGCTGACCAGTTTCTGAGTTAATACCCATAGGTTCAACAAGCTTATCCTCCAACTTACTATTATCATTACCTCCATTTTCACCAGTGACTACTTTGTCAGTAACCTTCTGCTTGACAATTTTCCTAACAATTTTTTTCTTAGCAGGCTTCACACCCTTCTGAGCACTAGTGTTAGCCCCTGTCCCTTTCTTTTCTACATTGTTAGCTTCTTCTTCAGTCAGTTCATCCACTTTTTTCTTCTCAGCACTTTTGACACTTTTCTCTCCATCTTTATCAGTCGTGCTAGCCTTCTTCAAGTCTCCATCTTTTTCTTTATGAGCATTGGATGCCTGTTCTGTGTTCACAACTTCCTTCTTTTTCTCAGCTTTTTTAGAATCTCGTGGAGAGCTGCTTTCTGCTACAAAATGAAAATATATTTACTGCATGTGATAAGAAAATAACTACTGTGCATCACATTACAAAGACCAGTACCTTTAGGGGGATCTCTTTTGTCCTTTGGTTTCTGCATCGAATAATGCAAAGAGCATCAATAAATAGAAAGCTTTCGGGAATTAATATAATTTAAGTAATACAACCATAACCTTGACAATCATATGTTTAAAGATTTCCTTATAGCTTGCAGTGCAATAAGCAACATATAATAATGTCCAGAACACACCATGATCAATTGGAGAAGCCAAAGGGATACATTTTGAGAGACCGGGGGGGGGGGGGGGGGGGGGGTGGGGGGTGGGGGGGGCAATTCCTTTTATATTATACAGTAAACTTTTAGACACACAAGTTACTCCTATCAATTTTATAGTGTAAAATCAATAGATCTAAAAAATTAAATACGAGTAATAAATATACAACATTAAAAGTTGAATACAAGATAACATATTAAAAATATTTTTAATAGATAATACCCAAGGCTCTGTGTCCGTTAAATATATTTAAACTTGTTACCTAGGTCCCTGAGTCTTCATATTAAAAAAAAATCCCATGTCTGAATCTTGTATCCATACCCGGGTCAAGCACTCACCCATAAATCCAAGCATTATAGTATAAAATGCGTTTTTGAAGCTTAAAAAAAATGACATACAAAAAATAAAGAATTGAGACAATGTAAATAATTTTGCTCACAAGACAAACCTCTTTTCCTAAAGAGAGTTGCTTCTCACGCCCCGCAACAGCTTTCTTGTGTGCCAACCACTGCTCTCGCCATACATTTAGTGAAGGAAGACAGTCTGAAAGATCTGGAACAAAAAGTACAGTAATCTCTCTATGACTAAACAGGCCATCCTTGCCAACTCTGTCATAGTGTATCTGCAGACCAGAGGAGCATTGAAGACTTTAGCGAATAAGTGAAAGAGTACCTAATCTCATTGGTACAATTTACAAAGACCTTACTAGCTAAGCTCAGCTGACATATTGCTTAAGTGCTAACTAAGTCAGTTAAGGTACTACTACATCCATTTCTTTCTGTTCGTTAATACGCTTCCCAATAACTCTGTTCTTTTTATTTCTATACACTTCTACTTTATCTATATTTGGCAATGATGTATATCTCTTTACCCCCCTTACCCCACACAAAAAGATATATATTTGCCCATATATTTACTTTTTCCACTAGCAAGTTCCTATCCCACTTTTTAACTCCTGTTTTATTTGATCTTGTGCAATTAATAAGCATCAAGAACATTAAAGGACGGGGGTTGTATTAGCTAAGTTGTTAAGAGAGCCCAAAACCAGATATAGTAAGATCAGATGTCAGCAAAAGGCCAAAGGTATTTAAAGATAGTACAAAAGTCACTACTCACAAATGATGTAAGTCACATAACAGATTAACAGGATGCATCCTCAATATAATACAGGTAGGCAAACAGAAGAATTCTTAACAAGGATGCTAATCCAGTAAGGTTTTGATTGATATAATACATTACCTACAAACAATATGAAAGGGAGGTTTTGTTTTTATAACAAACAAGACATGCAATCAACCTTAAGTCCTTAAGAATGATGTAAAAACATCTCATGTTTCTGTACTCAATTATTCAGCAAATCAGATCATTCTTTTACCTTATACTTACTTGTCTGATAACCAAAGAGGGTGTTCTATAATATAATCAACATACTATTTACTAGTAGGGCATCCATATATATATATATATATATATATATATATATATATATATATATATATATATATATATATATATATATATCATCAGCCTAACTTGAATAGTCAAACAAACGAAAATTTAATATTATGGATTCTTCAATAATGGATTACAAAATATCATCCTAAATTCTTGCTTAATGTAACCACTGCACCATAGTACATAGATATATCGAAATTAACAATAATTAAAGAAATTAATTAGTAAGCCAGCGCACACACCTATAAATTATCATGAACCATAGTTACAACTGACTGCATTCATTAAGGAAATTAGCAAGTTGGGGGTGAAAGGGTGACATAACAAATGTGAATAATAGGTTAAATTGACCAAAGTACTTTTCAGTCATAATGCATAGTAAAAAGATTATAGATATTTGTGTAGAAACCAACTAAATCCAACTATAACCCCAGTTCACACAGTAATGGTACAGAGCAATACCAAAGTAAAAAATTCCCCATTTACAATATTCAAAACAATCTACCTAGAAACTGTAGACAACATTCCACAGGCTTTTTACCTCAAGGAAACGATTCCAATGCTGACAATTCTGCAGATCAAGATGGCTCAAATCTTTTGCATATCTACAAGAAATAAAAGGTCATATCCTTCACATTATGTGAACATCACACACAATATTCCACCAACAGGTCAAATACATACAGACACAAAACTCACAAACCTGAGGATTGTATGGACTAATGAAGATTCATCAAGTGATGGATCTCCACCATCAACAGCATCCCAAGGGCCTCCAATCGCCATCAAGGAACGATCTTTTTTCAACACAGCAAACCTAAGTAAATTGCATAAATGTGGTATGCGATCATCTGAAAGCTTTTCAGAGCAGAGGTCTTCTGTAGCACCCCTGCTAAGCCCACTCATCAAAATCATCTGTAACAGAGTTCAATAAATAAATCTATTAAACTTCATCCTGCATCTGTATCTTGTCATAAATAGAGCAAAAAAATTATACGCCAAATAGATTAACCTAGCTTCAAAAGTTAACACGTTAAAACATTCACTGGTTGCATTGCCTCTTGCTATTTCACCATACAATGTAATTAAAGGCATTAAGTTACAACTCGTCTCGACACTCCAGTACTATATAAGTGAAACTATAACAATCCAATACTGTAATCACAACCACCTCACTAAATATATTGTGGCCCATACAGTAACATTTTTAGAATTTCTAACAGGCAGCATTATCTTAGTCCAAGCTGCAACTCCTACCACTCCTAAAGAAAAATGAAGCAAACTTTAAGGAATTGATGAGACTCCTCAGAGCCCAAATTATTTTGGGACTAAAGCTTTGTTTTTTAAGAGACTCCTCAAACGCAGCATACAGCCAGAATACAAGACAACATGGAGCAAAAGATGGTTTGGTTTCAAACTGAAAATTCTATGTACTACCTCCGTTAACGATTATGTGCAACTTTGGGGAGAGGAACGGACTCCAATGCAAAACTTCTTAAAGGTGCTTAACAAAAAGTAAGGGTACGTCATTAATAGTTAATCAATCCAAATCTTAAAAAAAAAATATTGAAAGAACCATCCAGCAATCCAGCATCCCAGCCACCGAAACTCACCGACGGAACCACCACCTCCACAAACACACACCAAAACCCACATCGATGACCACCCTCCAAAACCCACCCACCAGAACCCAGATTTTAAATCCACGATCACCCACCAAAACCCACACACCAAAAACGACCACCTATGAAAACCACCCACCGAGAACGACCACCAACCGAAAACGACCAACCCACCAGAAACTAAACCCCCAACTCGAACCCAGAATCACGACCCACCCCAATTCAAACCCAAAACCACCTAAGAAACCGACACACCCACCGAATACCCATCCAACCCACTAACAACAGCCTATGTCGTCTTCTTCTTCGTCGTCTTCTTCGTCGTACCAGATATGGAATGAGTTTGAAGGAGGAGGGAGAAAGGTAATGGGGAAGATGAAGAAGGTGAAAAATAAGGGTATGAATGTGGAGAAATTGGATGATTTTGAACTAGTTTGGTTGATTTCAACGAGTTATTGGGGAAGATGAATTAAATTTGATAGGAGCAGTTCGATTGATTAGGTTAGATTAGTAATTAATTAATCATGTTTTTAAGAATATAATTGATGTTATAAAGTTTTAAGGGCATTTTTGTAATTTTGTTAATTTTTTTACTAAATATGGAAAGGTTTGGAAATGTTGCACATAATCTTTAGCGTCCATTTTTTGTAAAAGTTGCAAATAATTGTTAACGGAGGTAGTATAAAAATAGATTCAGCAAGTTGCTCAAAACACACACTACAGAGCCTCATGGTCTGAATAATATCAGCCAAGTAGCACAAGAGCTATAACAAGAGCCAGAAAGATGAGGCTATATTCTCAAAAGTTAAGAAAACTTAGAAACGTTGAAGATAAAAATATTATAATAAAGCTAATTACTTATTAGACATTTTTCAAATATTTAAAATCTTGATACTCCCTCCTTTCACAAAGTACTCATTGTAGACACAAATTTTTGCAAGAGAGAATAGCGTGTGGAAAATTGGGCCACACTTTTTTTTTCTAGTGCAATAGTATTTATAAAAAGATATTTAAGGAAAAGAGAGAACACGGGGGAGAGAGAAAGAGAGAGTGGCCAAGTACAAGTTATATTGTACTTCACATAATATATGCCAAATAAGAATAAAGATATAAGTTGTTTAGGAAATGAATGAAAATGGAAAGTGAGTGGTTCTTTGTGAAATAGAGGGCATATGTCAAAATATGTGTGTGTGTGTGTGTGTGGGCATGGACACATGTTTATTTAATAGGTAACGGATATTTTCTTAAGCAACCAAGGTTTTGCTGCCTATAGCCTCTTCAAAAGTGCTAGGTCAATTTCTCCAATAACTTATACAGTCGCCTTTACAGTCTCACTTATCCAGTTCAGCTGCTAATCTGATTTCTCCTTTCAATAAGTTTTAAAAAGCCTTCACTCTTTAAATATAAGTAAAAAAAAACATTCTAAATACAATGTTCTTAATGGTTCTACGCCTCTACTCCAAAGCCCTCACACAGAGAACAATACAAGTCATGAGGATGGCAGGCACAAACATCTAAATAATCATGAAAAGTCTACTTTTAATCAAAAAAGGGCATAAATTTGCAAGTGCCTAATAACCCAGCAACATGCCATCCTTTGATTTCCTACATGGTCAGTCAATTATGCCAGACAACTAACACTCCTACACGAAGTTTTTAAAATTAATTTAAATTTCTCTATATTTTCCATCAGCTATGGAGTAAGGACCGCTTTCAATCACACTCTGTTTGAGAGAAGATTTCAACTTACGGACTTGTAAGGAAAACTCCACACGTATATCCTTTATACTTAAGACATTTTATTAGCTGGTAGAGGGAAAGGGGGTAAATGATTCACCTTTGCATTCCATACTGTGCCCCTACGCTCTGGATTAGCAGTATTTGTATCTGAATGCTTTGTAGAGAGCTCTTTCTGAACTGCACCACTCGCATCATCCGCAAAGTCATGCTCAAAACTGTTTCCAAAATTATTTGGGAAACAAAATAGAAATTTTACTTCAAATTTAAGTTACGAAGGGATATACAAAACAAAGCAAAAACATAATAGCTCTCACCAAAAACTGCTGTATTATATACCTTAGCTATAATAAATAGACAAACTCTACAAAATTGATAGATCTAGGTACTACGCTGCACATCAAACAGTGGAAAACTGCATTGATGACATTCAGTGTTTGTACTCGACTTAATGCATGCATGGCATAATTTAGCAATACAAACTCTCAGTTATTTGGCCTATTTCTAATAATTACTTGTTACGAAGTGTAAGGTATTGTTTCATATTCATAAATCCTAGAGGTATGCAATAGAAGGGGGGAGATAGAGGAGGGAGTGGAGAAAAGATGCTAAGTAGACAGATACCTGACAGGAGTGTACATCGGAAGTTTCAAATTCACCCTTGGCCAATTAACCACCACCTTGAGATTGGGATTCAATCAAATTAAGGAATATGAATTTCAATAAGCAGCCCTGGAATAAACCAAGTTTAAATAATTTTTTTTTTATTTGCACATCATGACAAACCTTTGAGAAATCAGGTGATATATAAAGCCTTGGGTAACGCTTATCTAGTGATAGATAATCCCTCTCCACATCTACCAAAGAAGAAGTGTAAACCTGATGACAAAAGATAATTATAAAGCAGAGTCAGGCATAAGCTAATTAGTAAGTACCCAACCAGCTATGGTGTGAGCTACGTAGATGTTACAATACATTCGAGGCATGCCCAATCAAAAAGAACACCAGTGGCAGATCATTTCATTCCTCATATATAAGCCAACTATAAAGACCAAATTGCTACAAATAAATGATAATCTGAGATATCAACTCCTACAGATAATTTCATGCTAATCATGTATGGATACATGTTCTTAATACTCTTGGGGGTATTTCATACATCCAAAGGCACTCAAAAACCACAAATACTCAAAAATTAGAATATATATTAATGCACAGACATAGGAAAAGAGTTGTGAAATTTGCGGATGAGGGAAAGAAGAAGAGCAAGCCAGGTGACTAGGTAAGGTAAAGAAGGTACATGATTATAGAAGGAAAGAAAATAAAAAGATGAGCATAATCTGTCAGGCTCAAAAGGAAGTATCCAGACTGTAAGATCTCATTCGAGAAAGTACCAAGAAGATGATCAAGAAAAAAGTTGGTGAAGGCAAGAGTCAAGAAGATTTGCCAGAATAAGTAAACAGCTCTCTAGAAGGAGTGGAAGGAGCCATGTGATAAAAAACTAAGCAGCATCCAATTTCATATACCCATAGAGAGAGGCCAGATGATACAATTATAATACAGAGAGGGTAGGCTCTTTTGATATATATTTACCTTGCAAGTATATTCCCTCCTTTTTTCTCTAACAGGTGAATGGATCCTTCAGCGTAATAGAACAACAAGTTAGTAAAGAAGCTTCAGGATATGCGAGAAACGATATATAGAGAACTACAGCATGATAAATTCAAACTATCATCATCCACCTATGAAGAGCTTCACGGCGAGGAGAGTCCCGTCTTGAGGGTTTTCCATCCTTCGTCAATGAGGAACCGCGGCGATCCTTAGATGATTTTGGTGGAGTTCGATCACGTCTGCTTTCAAGTGCTCGTTTGCGCTCACGATCACGATCACGTTCACGTTCACGCTCCCTTTCTCGAAGCTCTAAAAGGCGCTTTCTTTCACGCTCCTTTTCTCGATCACGTTCGCGTTCCCGTTCTCGATCCCTATCTCTTTCTCGTTCTTTATCACGCAATTGCTCCCTGCGACGCTCATCTTCTCTCACATCAAGTACCCGAGGATATCTATCGTCTTTTAAATCATCCACTCTTGAAAGTCCACTACGTGATGAAAGGCTACCGGGAAAGTCGGAATCAAGAGCAGTTCCATGTAGCCCTTTCCCCATGCCATAGTCCCTACCCGGAGGAAGGCTTACTCCATAACCAGGATTTGATGAAGTTTGAGCATACACAATATCATCTACATTCCTCTGAGGAGCAGCTCCCAAGATAGAAGGAGCTGGTTGTCCACCATATGGTGAATTCCCAACAGCTGATACACGAGGATCAGCCTCGAGTCTTCCTCCATAAGACACAAGCTCTTGGGCTGGATGACGAAATGTACCACTTCTTACAGCAAGATAATCAGCTTGTCTGCCAGAAACGTGTTGCTATTTAGTGTAAAGAGGAATATAAATAGTGATTGGTAATGCTGCATACAAGCACCACAATATCATAATCATGGAGGTGGTTGACAACCAGAGCAATATTTATTGATGATTAGATAGTACTATTCATGCAGAAAAATCTCAGAGCAACAGCTTATAGGATGCTATCCACAAAACAAAACTTTAAGGAGTCTGTGTACTCAGTAAAGTTGACATCAATGAAAAGTACCTGGAAGCCTCATGAGAAGCAGATTGCAGTGACTGAGATTTCAACATATGCTCTTGTCGAAGAATTGAAGCCTGATCCAGACGATCATACATCTCAGACTGTTGAAGAAACAAAATTAATTAAAACCGGGTTGCCAGACATGGACCACAAAAGTTGGACAACAGGAACCACAACAAGAACCTCAATCAAGCAAATTCTATATTCTAGAGAGAGAACAGTATAATACTTAGCCTGTCAATGTAGATAGCAACCTCCGACAGGGGTACTAAAGAAAGTTAATCTGAGGAAATAACATAGTAACAGCTGGTCTATATCATTAGTCATTACAGACATGAAGCTGAAATGACTTGTGACAATATCACTGAAAGTCGACATCAATTTTAATACTCCCTCATTTTTATTGTAAGTGTTACACTTTGAACGGCACATAGTTTTAGGCAATCAAATTGACTTTAATATCATAAGAGGTAAGTGGGGTAGTTGAAATTTAGAAAAGATAGTGGAGTTCATATTTTATTGAAAAGTATAGGATGTGAGGGGAAAAAATATTTAAAAAAAAAAAGGAAAAATTGATTCTAATAATCCCACCTTTAAATTATTATTTAATAATCCCACCTTATAGAGAATTTTCTTCTATTGGTCCCTTATGACCGGTAACCTGAACATCAAATAAACTTTTTTTTTTAATTTGAGTGACACGTGTCACTAAATAATTAGTTAAAAATGGTAAAAAAAAAAAAAAAAAAAACTTAAAAAAAAAAAAGAAAACCTAATTTTTTTTAAACTAAGCCAGCCCCAAACGAACACCCTAGGTCCCTAACCCCAACCTACAGCAGCCCCTCCTCCACCGCCGAACCCCCATTCCCACGGCCGGAACCCCATTCCCACCTTTACCCAACAAAATCCGGCCCGATTCCAACCCTCACACCCACGAAAACCATCGAAGCCCTTAATTTCAATGAATTAAAAAAAAAAAATTCAATGAATCAATTTCAAGGGATGGCTTGAGGTTGAATTTGGGTAAGAGATTCAGGCATTTTCGGCGGTTTTTGGCGGTTAAGAGGGAATATTCTTCGATTAGAAGGGGGTTTCGGCAGTTGGGTGGGGTTTTTAGGGTGGTGGTTGTGGTGGTTTCGGGGATGGGATTCGGGTTGGGGATGATTTCGAGAGTTGATTTTGGTTAGTGGGGTGGTTTTCGGTAATGGTGGGTTCCGGCCGGCCATTTTCAGGGATGTAGGGTGGCGGCCGGCCGGTTTTTATGGGGCTAAGGTAAGGTTAGGTTCCGGTGGTGGAGGTGGTTGGTGGGTTTTGCTTTTTTTTCAGTTTTGTTTTTTATTTTTTTATTTTTCAGTTTTATTTTTTTTTATTTTTTCAATTTTTTTTTTAGGTTTTATTTTTCAACCAATTAAAAAACGACACATGGCACATTAACCTATGAAAACCGGTTACCAACAAGTTAGGGACCAATAGAAGAATATCCCGTATAAAGGTGGGATTATTAGAATCAATTTTTCCTAAAAAAAAAAAAGTAGTAGTGAGTTTGAGTGGGGACGATGGGAGGAAAGATGTAACATTAAAATGAAGTTATTTAATTGCCGCTTTGGCAGGTGTAACTTGAAAATAACAATGGAGTACCTCAAAGAAAAAAAAATAAAAATCAACAAACCACGAACACACAACATACAAAAATGACAACCATCTACAGACTCTGCAATGAACTTAACATACAAGTAAGAAGGTAGAATCAGATCACTTTTGGTTCAACACGCACTTAAATTGACATATATCTCCCTACCAGTGACTGCAATAGCACTCAACTTACCAGCTCTTAAATCAACTCAATGGTATTAATGAATAAGGAGGAGATCAATACAGATAACATGCTTGGCTTGTGTGTGAAAAAAATATTTACAATTACAGACTACTTAATAAATGAAATGCCAATTAAGTGAACCTCAAATTGCTTAGATGGATTTTTAAGTATGCTAAAATGACAATCCACCGACAGAGGACTCATTAAACAAATATTGTAAAACTTTACCTTTTTTTAAAAAAAAAAAGGTGAAACGCTAAACGACGCCCTTATTTTACCGAGTAACGCCCACATTTTAAAATAAATGGACGAATTTACCGTTTTCATATACTTTATGGACACTATGATTTTCACCCCTCTAGATCGAGAACATACGCTATCCTCCTAACAAATTAAACCACCACCTAACACCACCAATTAAGGGACATTTGCTAGAGAAAATGTGGTGATATTTTTTTGTATGTTCTGACAAAGCCGTAAACATTTAATTTTAAAATCAAGGTTGAATACACAAAAATTCGTAAAATCGCATAGTTATACGAAATTTCTGGGTTGTTTTACCATATAACCGCGCGGGTTTATAATTTTTCCCTATAAATTTCAAGGCTGTTGTACAAAATTTCTGGATTTTTTTCACCATACGAAGATTCTTTAAAAACGCCTAACAATTTCATATAACTGTGCGGTGTTATGAAAAAAATGGGCGTTTCTGCCATGGTAGTCCAAAAAAACAAACCCAAACGCCTAAACATTTAGAACTACCAGGCAGAAACGCCCAAATTTTTCATGAACCCACACGGTTATACAAAATATCTGGGCGTTTTCACATACGCGGGTTTATGATTTTTACCTGGGCGTTCACCCATGATTTTCAAAAGAAGTAGGCAAGTGAATTAAGGGCGTTGTTTAACAAAAATGGTCTTATAAGTAAGCAAAAGCTCAAATGAGCAAAAAGTAAGAATCACAAAACTAAACCAGCATACAGAACAACAAATCCAAAACCCTCCCCCCCCCCCTCCCTCCCCACCTCTCTATCCAACTCCAAATCAAAAGGAAAAAATAAAGATAACAAAAGATCAAGCATAAAAATTCAAAGAAAGAGGCAAAAAAATATACCTTATGAGCATAGCCAACAGAATCAGCATATCTTCCACCAGCCTCAACTGGCAGATCTCTTCCCATATAACCCCCCTGCCTTTCAGCAAATTGCCTTCTTTCAAGTGATACATAATCAGCCATCTTATCAGGAATTAAGAGCTCAGATTTGTGGCCATATCCATGGCTAGCAGCAGCCACATAGTCCTTAGCGGTATACTTTGGGGAATCTGCTATCCCTGAACCATAACCAGTACGTCCTTCCATAGTAGATGGCCCAGATCCCTTGACACTTGCAGAAGTGCCCTTCAAAAACAAAAAGACTTGTCATAATTAACGAGCAAAAACTACTAAATATACTAACATGGGTAAGCAATTTTAAAACTAGACAAGTAATGGCAATGTCAATTAATGATTGATAAGTTTTAAAATACGAGGCTTAAGAGCAATCATAATTCAGAGGAAAACAATTGGGTTGGCATTAGTCAAATGAAGTAATGCTGCAAAAAATTCACAACTTCCCGAAAAAAAAAAAAAAAAAAAAAAAAAAAGGGTTACATTGTGATTTAAAGAGAATGAAAAAGTAGTTCACAAGAGTAAAAACTGATATCCCCATTTTCCAAAAGCTGGTTGTTCAGAAATCTCATCAGATAATAGAACAGGGAAAGAAACAAATAAAAATAACCCTCAGTCCCCCCCTCCCTCCCAAGCACACTAACTTATATATTCTTTCTCTCCATGAAATCATCAACCACCAAATCAATTCTGCCATCATTTTCAATTAGCTGGGTGAGCTAGACCAGGTTTTTAGATAAAATCATTAAAAGTGGTTTAAATAACTGAAATGGACAAGAAATTAAAGAGGAAAGGAAAACAAGAATATCGATGATGAGGAAGGACCAGCCACACAGAAGGGTCTAGAATGAGAGGAAGTAGCGAAAGAGATAGCATGGGTACAACGGAAGGGCGAAAAGCCAAAGATCGAAAGAAAGAGGAATGCTAAATGGCTGTGAGGGAAATTGATAAGACAATATTGCTCAGCAATAAGCTTCTTATAATGCTTCCCATTTTATAAAATAATCAAATTAAAGCCCCGCAGCATGGTTTGATCCAGCCTCCAAGGTATACCAACCCTGAACTCTAGGTCCCGGTGATTTGGGTGTGGTTTGTTTGCCCATGAAGCACATAAGTGACTCGAAACCTTATCCTGGATGAAAGGCATATCATGCCACCTCATCAATTATTCCAACATCTTTAATACCAGTTTTTCACTGACCTGCTGACCAGCACTCAGTGAAGATTGGCCATATAAGGAACCATATTGTCCTCCATACTGTGCTGCTGCAGGATGAGCTCTAAATCCACCAAGTTCTGATTCAAGAGGACCACCCAAAATCGAAGGATGTCGAGACCCCATGGTCAACTGAGAACTGCTAGTCGATCCACCAGCAGAACTCCCAGGATATGCAGATGAAGGCTGCATAAAAAACGAGAGGCAGATATGAGCTTCGGATTCAAAACCCCATTAAAAGGACATATAATGCCTTAAACATGGATAAGCAAAAAGAGAAATATCTGAGTGAAGGCTCAATAATATTTACATTTTGCCCATAAGATGATTGCGCAGTGTAGGACTGCTGCCCATATGAATCACTTCCTCTGGAGGAATACATCCCTGCAAAGTTAATGACAAATAAATCAGGTCCATGTTCATAAATATACACATACGAGATAAACAATGCGCGTCTAGCAAGTTAGCATTAAATGGTGGCATGAACATTACAATTCCAGGCAAATCCCTGAGCCAGGGCTAAAGAGGCGGCTGCCCAAGGCAGATGTAGCGGCCGCCCTGAGCCGGGGGAAGAGGGGTAGCCGCCCTGAACCCAGGGAGAAAAGTTCCATTATTATACTTCCATCCTAACATTGAAGGGTTATAAACAAAACCCTGCAACAAATTAGCAACCAAATTTTTTTTCAATTATAAAATTAGGCTCCAAAAACCACATAAAATTCTTCTCGCTTAAGATTATCAATTCATAGAGCACATAACAGAAATCTAACAACAAATTCAATCGTTATAATCTTTCCTAACATCAAAAATTATAACCAATAGGTTAATAATCTATATAAGAAGAACCCTAAAAACAACTACTGAAAATTACATTAGCGATAGTGTGAAAATAAACCCTAGATTGTGAAATTGATATTCGATTATTACAGAAAAAGCAAAAATAAATTACCTCAAAAGGAGCTGCAATGGAGGAGTGATGACCCCGTTCCAATGGAGAAATCAGAGTTCGCTTCAATGGAGGAGAGGGATGCAGCGTATAAGTTAAAGCTTCGGAGAAAAAAAAAATGAAAACATTTAGTAAAAAGGAAGATTAAATCAACATATGTAATTAAATAATTATGTACGAGTATAAAATAGGGGTAAATACAAGTTTCTCGGGGTATATCTCTGCACCGTGCTGTAAATAGCACGAGGGCATTTTGGTAATTTCTCGCTTGTGTAGAGTTAATCCTTCGTCCATTGCAGAGGTTTGTTGTTCACCATTTTCGTCCACGATAGGAGGGGTATTGATCGGGGAAGCCTTCGTGTTTCCAATGAAGGGACGAGGTAAATTTCAATTGGTAGTAGTTGTACTTTAGGGTTTAAAGGTGCGATTTTGCGACAATGAATGGGTCCAATGTTGATTGAATTATTAGCGAATTGTGGAATTAGGGTTTTAGTTGATATTAATCACTAATGTAATTGGTAATGCAATTTGAATTAAGAACTAATATTGAAATTAAGGTTTGGGTTTTGCGAAATTGGTAATTGAATTAATCAAATAATCTGTTTGTTTTTTGTTTTATATATAAGAAATAATTGTTATGTTTATTTTGTGAAATTTTTTAAGTTTGAAATTTATGATGATTTGATTTTGTAGAGATTTAATTTGAGTATTAGATTTTGTGAAGTTGTGATGTAGAGCTGTATGTGTGTAGTACATTTTGTGAAGTTGTGTTGTTGATTTTGTGCAGTTTGGTAATTGATATTCATGCATGTAGTTTGGTAATTGATTTTGTGTATTAGATTTGAGTTTTTGATGTGTAGCTGAGTATTTGATTGATATTTGGTTGAATTGTGAAGTGTGTAGTTGCTAATTGAGTATTTGATTGATATTTGAGTGAATATTTTATTGGTATTTGACTGAATATTTGATTGAATATTCATGAATTCTGAAGTCTGAAGTTGCATTGTGAAGTTTGAATATTTTATTGAATATTCATGAATTGATATTTTTGTATTGCTAACTGAATATTTGATTGAATATTCATGCATTAATATTCATTAATTGGGAAGTTTGAAGTTGATTGAATACTGATGAATTGTGAAGTTTTAAGTTGCATTTTTAAGAGGCATTATTTGAAGTGGGTTAGTCCTTCTTTGATATTCAGCCCTTCTTTGATATTCAGGTCAAGGGAAGGCCATAAAGGGTAGTGGTAAAGCTGGTAAAGGTGTTAAAGGGAAAGGAGGGAAAGGTAGGAGTAATGGAAAAGAAGGTATGAAAGTAGAGGGTCGCAGCAGGACACAAGTGGTTGAGTCTGAGGTAGAATCATGTGATGAATCATCCTTTGAATCATCATCAAGTGGATCTGGATCGATGTCAGAATCTGATTTTGAGTATGAACCTGAACCAGAAGTGCATCCAGCAATGCAATATAGTGCTGTGTGTAGTGATGATGTTAGTCAATGTTACAGTAGGGGTGATGAGGTAAGAGTTGAACTTGTAGGAATTGTGATTTTTGTTGAGGTAAGACATGATTACATGTATGTGGAATGATGTATATGTATTGATATGTAGGTGAGAAAGGCACAACGCAAAGCGAGAAGGAAAAAGAAAATTGATCAGAAGGTGTTTTGTGGTGAGTTGGTTTGTTTATATGAATGGAGGCAAGCAATTTCCTATAGTTGTGGGGATATTTATGCAGTTTTCTGGTTTTGGACAATTCCAAAACTTTAGGAGGAAAGGTGAAGGAGGTTGGGATTGTCATTGCTTCTTTTAAGAGCAAGAAAAAGGTATTAAATCAAATCCCTTGCTGTGTTTTGAGAATAGTATCAAAATGCTAGAAATTGGGAAGTTTTACAAGTAATCATATTTTTGTGTCACTTTTTTTGCAGGCAATGAATGTCAACTGCCCCGTGGAGACATTGGGTAGGATTTAGGCAGTTTTGATGAAAGCAAGCAGCATGTCGTCAGGGAAATGGGTTTTGGTGGCTTGTTTTATCTCAAGGGGCTGCCACGACAGTTGGCCTTCTGGCTTTGTACAAGGGTTGATGTGAGTAGAAAATGCGTTGACTGTTGATGGACAAGTGTTACCATTGGACCCAATTCAGGTCCATTAGGTGTTGGGCCTTCCATATGGTCCTATAGTAGTACCGAAGAAGGTAGTGAACCAGGAGTTGGAAGATTCAAGAATACATATAACACAAAAACAACATGTGGGACAAGAGGCATAACTAGGAAGACACTTGTGCAATATCTGGAGGGTCCTTGTGTGGATGAAGATGAGTTTAAGAAGGTGTTTCTAATGTATGTGTTGAGTGTACTCTGTTCATCGACATGCCATCGTATGAAGAAGCAATTTCTTCATGGTGTATCAGTGGCAGACAATGCTCCTCTGTATAATTGGTGTGAGTTTGTACTTGATGAGCTAATGAAAGCTCTAGGGCAGTTTAGTAAAAGGTTCTATGGTGATGATCTTAATTTTAATGCAAGTAGTGGTGGATGTACCTTGTTCTTGGCGGTAAGTTTAATTTAAATTGCAATGATATACATGATGCTGATATCAATGACTGTTTAATAACAGCCTATGTAAATTTCTAGGTGTTTTATTTGGACCGGCTTAATTGCTCACCCCTTAAATGGGGCGAGTTTCCTAGGATCAAAGTGTGGTCGAGGCAGGAGATGAACAAGGCAATATCTGCTAATCAGTTTGAAAGTGGTAATTATGGAGCCCTTGGTGTAAGTGTTTACATACTTTAGATATATGTTGTAATTACAAATATGTTTGACTAAATATGTCTGACTAACTATTTGTGTAAAATTTTTGGTAGTGTGTTAATGTGAATTATGGGCGGGAACACCCCTTAAAAGCAGGAGACATCTTGCCTTGTACGAGTAAAAGATCAAAAGATTGTGTTGAGGTTTGTGTTTTCTTATAATTGTTTAGTGTTTGTGATTGAGGTGGTGTGTTGATGCTAATTTTAATTTATTAATCTTAACCTTAGGTTCTAAATGCTTTGAAAAGTGTATTGAATGTTGAACTGGATGTTGAACCGGATGAAGAGGAAGTGGATACTAATCCCAAAAATGTGAAGAGGAGAAGAATGGCAACCACCGATCGACCCGTTTGGTCGTGCCCCAAGTTTTGGAGAAGGTTATTACAGCTTCCAAATCTATGTAGTAGTCAGTTGTTTTAAATAAGTATAAATTTTACAACCTGCAATCTGATGTTGTGATCACTTTGATCATATCTGCAGCCAATCCAAAAGTTATGGAGAATTTGGCTCAGGTGGAGAATGTGCAGACTAATGATGCAGACACGTCGGTTGATTTGCAGAAGACGATTAATCAGGTGGAGAATGTTGTGAAGGAGTTCAATTCTAACTCACTTAAAAAAGATTTTTATCAAGTACAGAGTGAAGAGATTTTGTCAAACTCAGACATAGATGTCAATTCGTTAGTGTGGACTGTTACTCAATCTGTAGGTGGTCCATTTAATGGTGATGCATCGCCCCCAATCAACCATACATATTGATTGAGAATCCAATTCAGCTTGACATGCCGAGTAACAAGTATAAGGGACCTAAGTATACTTTGGGTAATGATTGTACAAACTTTTGTGAAACCAATGTGTTTGATGGAATGTTCTCAAGCATTAGGTTGGATAGCCCCCAAATTTTTTTGCAGGGTTAAGTTATTACAGAGGAGCAGGGACTGGATCAACAAGGGGGAGTGGATAAAGAACATGTAGTGGATAAGGGAGAGGGAGAGCATAAGGAGAAGGAGATTAATGAAGAGAGATTATCTAAGGAAGAGGGAGAGCAGAAGGAGATTAATGAACATACATCATTGGAGAGGGATAAAGAGTATACAAGAGAGGTATTGAATAAGGAGAAGGAGATTGAGAAGGAGAAAGAGAAGGAGAAAGTGAAGGAAAAAGAGAAGGAGAAAAAGAATGAGGAGAAAAAGAATGAGAAGGAGCATGATAAGGAGATTGATAAAGAGATTGAGAAGGAGAAAGATAAGGAGAATGAGAAGGTGAATGAGGTGAATGAGAAGGAGAAAGAGACTGAGAAGGAGAAAGAGAATGTAAAGGAGAAAGAGAATGAGAAGGTCAATGAGAAGGAGAATGATTTGGAGAATGATTTGGAGAATGAGAAGGAGACTGATAAGCAAAATGAGAAGGTGAATGAGAAGGAGGAAGAGAAGGATAAAGAGAAGGATCAGAGTGGTAAGGCAGAACTGAAGGGAGGACAGGAGAAGAGATTGGAGAATAGGAATGGTCCAGAAATATCTGATGATGTGGAGTTGCGTGAGATTACATTTGAATCTGAAGATGAACCGGTAACCCCGTTAAAGCTCCGAGCCGCTGCACAGAAGGAGATGTTGAGGAGGAAAACCGAGCGTAGTAGGAGACAAAGGAAGATGATTGGGGTTCAGACGTTGCCAATGGACTATGTTACACACTGGAGGCCAAAATATATTCGTACGTTTCGGGAACCATTACTCAAGTATGTGATGGATAATTCATCCGGACGGCTACGAAGCTTGGAGTGAGTCCCTAGTTAACCTAATATCTTTATACTTTCATGCCACTAAAATCATATGGTTTGGCTAATTTTCTTCTATTTTTTTGTAGTAATGAGCCAACTATGCTTAGCATTGATAAGCATTTTGCAAAGTTGAACAAGATGGTATTGCTGGTGTTACTTCAAGGCTGGATGATTTGGTGAATTTCATCAAACTAATTGTGAAGATGGCTTTGATAATGTATTTTATCATGCTATTTATTGTTTCTAAGTGATGAATTAGGTGTAGTAGTATGAAGTAGAATGTTGATGTTGGAGGTTATGTATTAGGTATGGAACTGATGTACTTTGGTTTGCTCAATGAATGATGAATGAATAAAATTGGTACTACTTTTGTCAATTTTTGTAAGCAATTTTTGTATATAGTAATAATGCTGATATGTCATTGATTTTCCAAAAGAAAAACATTACATCAACCCATAATCTAAATGTTTTGTCCAAAAAAACAGCATTTAACATCTTGAAACACATAATATTGAAGTTTGACACATACAGTCAATTAAGAAGCAAAAAAACATGCACTATTTTGACCAACTACTCCTAAGACACACATCATGCA